CAATACGGGAACTAACACCAGAACTTATGAGGGAACCAACACCAGAGCCAATACGGGAACCAACACCAGAACCTGAACGAGAAATGTCTCCCGAGCCCCTTCTAGAACCACAGCTTCTGCCACCAGCAGAGCCCAATCTAGGAGCTGAACCAGTCCATGAACCGGCCTCCAGTGTTCAGCTGTCAGCCCAGGTGGACCCTTTCAAATTTGAGGAGTCTGCAAATGACTCAGTTTCTTCCCTGGGAACTACTGTCATGTCTCCTCCTTGTTCCCCACCAGGCTGTGTTTCTCCTGTCAGAGAGCCACAGAATGCCTCCTCTCTGCTGGACATGCATATGCAGTCTGATCCCTGGGACAGGAACCAGCCCCAGGCTCCATCTGACTTTGCTCCCCAGAGCTTAGTCAATATGATGGACTTCCAGAGAGAAGAGGAAAAGGAGAATAAAGAACAGTTTGATACACAGGAGACAATGGAGGAGTTTGAGGAGGAGGAGGAGGAAGAAGAGAAGGAGAACCTGTTATTGCCAACCTCTACAGGTCCATCTGCAGAGGCCTTCAACGTGATGGCACAACCTAATTTGTTGGGTACCTCGCCGATGGATGACTTCACCTCCGGGCACCTGATCTCCCCTCATGAAAAGGAGGTGGCAGTGGAAAAGGCTGATGAGGAGATAAATGAGGATGATGAGGAGGAGGACGAGGATGAAGACGAGGAACAGAGGAGACTAGGCCATCAGCCTTCATCCATGGTCACCGATATGAGCACGTCTCAGCCCTCCGAGGAGTTCCAAGTCAGGTCCTCTGCCTTTGGTGGTTCTGCAGGGTGGCACGGTGATGACCTGCTGTCCGGGATGGACTCCGAGGATGTGAGCAGCTGCACCAGCAGTCGGCAGCAGGGAGTGTCTGACCTCAGCAGCACCCAGCACACCGCGATACTGGAAGGCACCCAGAGCTCCGACGCCCTAGTCGACTCAAGCCTCCGTGGTTCTGAGGGAGATGGTAATCTCATGGGCTCTCCCAACGTGGAAACCCTGGCCAATGAGGAAGAGGACGAGGATGAAGAGGACGAGCGTGTGGATGATATGGACCTGAGTTCGGAGCGAGTAGAGGAACATCACAAAGTGTTCCAGCAGCAAGAGCAAGATGAGGAAGAGGAGGATGAAGATGTAGAGATGCACAGTGAAGGAGTGACAGAGAGCTGTGGGAATGCAGATGAAGATGACTTCAATGAGGAGGAGCGTTTAGACAACCTCAATCGCTCCGGTCCTCCGCCTTGCGTCCCCCCTACCTCCTCCTGGGGGCAGACCAGCCCCTTCTCTGATCCCTGGGCTCAACCAGCCTCACTGCTGTCTGTCTCCTCCCCCAGCCCGGTTTCTGACCACGGGGCAGCTGAATCTGAAACGCCCACCCTGTCTCCCGCCCATGCACGTTTGGACAGCAGCGCCCCTTCCTTTGCTTCTCACTCAGAGCAAGAGCCCGAGCAGCATCAGTCAGCCCATGAGGAGATGAAGAGCTCAGACCCTGAGGAGGCTCACGTCTTACTTGCTGCCCCAGCTGGAGGCATGTCCAGCGCTCTGAGCGGCACAGCTCTAGCTGCCCATAGCAGTAGCGAGACGAGCACACCAGAGGAACTCCGCGACTATGACAGCAGCTCTGGGGTGGAGTCCCATTCTGACAAACAACAGACCCCAGTGCCTGCTTCAGTCCAGCCTGACATGGAGCAGGACTTGGGTATTCACTTGGAGAAAGGCGATGGAGAAGAGGAGGAGGCTGAGACACTCCCTGCCGACGAGGTCCTAGGAACTGGACCCCCAACAGCTCCAGCATCCGCCCCGTCTTCCCCCTCCACCTCAGGAGACGAGGCCAGCGACACAGAGGGTGAGATGCAAATAAACGACCCTGATGCACCGGTGACGATGGATGAGAGTGCTGGATTTGAAAGCCCCACTCCCACCTGTAGTCTGCCCGCTCTCGAGGAGGATGAGGAGGCGGCAGACACAGCAGCCGGTGAAGGCGAAGAGGATGGAGGCGGGACCACCCCTCAGTCAGCCAACTCTGTGGCATCGTACGGCTTCGACTGCACCACATCCAACTCCAACGCCCACTCCATGGCTGAGAGCTGCGGAAAGAGCCCGGGGATCTTCTCCCTGGAGAATGAGGAGCAGCTGCCAGAGGAGGCCAAGGACCCCTCACTCATCAAGGAGCTGACCCTGCCATCAGCTGCTGCGGCCCAGGCAGAGGACCTGTTGGGCAGGCACGTGGACCTGATGCCTTTGGGCCACCCTGGAGAGACCCAGCACAGTCTCGATGAGCACCACTACATGCTGGGGGGAAAGATTGCAGCAGACCACCTGGAGGAGGTTGATCCGTTGGAGCCCAGTGACCTGAACGAGGCCCAGGGATCTGGAGACGTCGGCGACAGCCAGCCACCCTACTACTCTACCATATGTGATAAGACTGATAGTTTTCTGGCAGGTAACGTATAAGTCCCTCCTATTACCCCTGGAATGCACCTTTTCCCCACAACCCTCCCCTTTTACCTGTTGTTCGTTTTCTCTCCAGTTGGATTAGATGGCTTAGAAGAAAAAAAGGAGAGCAAGATTGTAGGAAAAGATTCTAAAAAAAAAATGAACAAAGGAGAGGAAAAAAATGACTGTAGCAATTTTTAAATGAAGCCTCCCTCTTTCATACTGTTACGGTCATGGTTATGAGTGTATGGCTTAAACTCCTTTATGTACAATAGCTACTACCATTTTCTAGTAGAATGTTCTTTTTAAGTAACACTGCATATTCTGTAGCCCCTGATGGGGTATTGACTGATTGGTCCAATGTGACTGAGCTTTTAAACCGAAAAAAGGAAGAAAAAAAAACAGATGGAATGAAATGGACTCATTGTGTATTTATCCTACTGTTTTTACCGAAACAAATGTCAATGATTTTTTTGTTTTGTTTTGTATTTGCTTATTTGTTGTTTTTTTGTTTGTTTTTTCTGTTGAAACCTGGTCCTCCCTACCCTGTGTACACGCGCTTCATGTTCAACAGCACCATAGCGATAGTCAGAAGCTCCTTTTTAAAAGTTTGTGTTCTTGTTTCAAGACTTTTAGCTATCAAAATAAAGGCTAGATATTAACACGGCTGTTATGCCCTTACAGATTTGTCGAGGTTGGTATGGGAGTATTAGATTGCAGCTGGTGAAGTTTTTAATGTGTGCTTCAAGAGGTTCTACGCTCTTCGCATAGGTTGTTAAGGTATATAACGTGCAGTCACGTACAGTATGTGTTTCAGGCATTTGGTTTTAAGTGGCTAAGCTTCAAGCCTCAGTTAGCTGATCGTTTGTGTTCCAGAAGAGACTAACAACTAGCCTATTATTTGTGACGAGACACTGCATTGTCCTACATCGCTATCACAGTTGAGCTTTACACTCGCTGAAACGTTTTCATAGTGGGCGTTTGGTTTACTTTTTCAACAGTATATTGCATGTTTAACTAACAAAAAGACTGTGTACTACCTTGAATTTGAAACAATTCTACACTAGACATGTTCATAAATGAATGGTTCACACTAGGTTATCTTTCAAAATTCCATTAAAACATCATTGCAAGGCATTTTGTTCCTGTTTCTTATTTTCCCTTTGAATCCAGCATGCCTGAACTTGCTCTCCTTGTCTCCAAGTTGCTGTGTATTTGCGTGTTTACACAACTTATTTCCCATGGTGTCTCCTACTCCTCACCATGGGAATAACCGGTAAACAGGAAGTGATGCAACAAGTGTACAATGGTGTTGTATCTAAAATGGAATTTTGGTTGAAACAAAGAGGTAATCCTAACCCAAACAGTGTCCCAGTGCCCTGTTCTCCAGCATGCTTAATGCCTTCATGAGATTTTCAGATTCAACACTTAATTGACCAACATCACATTCAGACTACATCCCTGGCAGGTACCCTGTGGATGTTTCCAGTCAGTGTTTTTCATCAAATCACAGGTCTAACAAAGATGTCTCATAAAACAAAGCCGAATATTTTGAATCCTACATTGTTACAGCCATGTCTGCTAGCCTGCATTCTTCTTCTTTGTTGGTGCAATGTCACATTTGTTGGTGCGTTTTGGCTACCGGCTGTCGATCAGCCTACGTAATCGCACAAAAACATTGCACCGTAGCACTGCTAGTGGTCAAAAACTTCATGGGGTACCCAGCAGAAATGCACATGGCACCTATTACGGTTTTTATACACAAGTGCTTTAAACATTAAAACAGGGGGAATCAGATCTGTCTTCATCCTCCTGAATGTTCCACTCACGCATTCAACACATACACTGAACAGCCCTTTTGTACAACCCACTTGAATGCATCTGAATGTTGAAGCTCAAGAAGACCAAACACTTTTCTCCCTTTCATTCCCTTTTCCTCTGACCTGCCCGCTCCTCCTCACCAAAACCCTGACATGGAAAAACACCCCAGACCCCCTGTATCAAAGCCCCATAAATTCCCTTTGATAGTTTCCTAAATTGTTAATATATTGATGATGCGAGTCCTGCTTCAGGCTTGTGTTTTAGGACACTACTGCTTTGCTTTTAAAAAATACAGTTACATAGGCTCACATAAAACAAGGTGCATCAGCTGCCTTTAGCATTTCATGACTTGATGAATATTTGTGGCACAAGTACATTTATTCTGTTATTCACATTTTATACCATACATTACTTCAGTATATTCCATTTCTGTGATGTTTTTGTTGGTTTAATCCCCCATGTTTTCATTTGTCTCTTTAATTACCTGTTGTCTGTATTGTACTGTGTTTATATGACTGCTGTCTTGCATGATGACCAACGTATTCAAAGAGGATGAAGCAGCATGTATGTGTGGTACCTGTGTACTGTAGTTTACATTATTAAAGCAATTGAGGGAAAATGTGGTTATATTAAAGAAAATGCAACTTCAGAGAGAAAACATCATGCAGTAACTGTGTCCTGCTTGGTGGATACAGTATATACAATAATATTCCTGTGTCATGGATGTCATTTTATTTTGAAAGCCCCTTTCTTTTTTTTGTTGCACCTTCGCCCTCTTGTCAAAACTCTCCTGAACCCTCTTCTTCCTGGTCCCTGTTGTTGTACAACCCATTCTGTTTGATGCATGCATCTCTAATGGATGCACCAAGTGATCTTGACTGTCTCACAGGAGACGAGAAGACAGATGAAGCGGATGAAGATCATAAGCTGCAAACACACTCCCAGGAAGACAACTGGAACCAGAACCACGCCACCACTGTTCCCATAGCCAATGGCCACTACTTGGCATTGGTCCCAGGCAACAGGAGGCCCATTGATCCGACTCTTGCGGCACATTTCGGAAAGATTGCATCTCCTCCTCCTTTGATAGAGACCAATGTTGACAGTCGCACTGGTGGAGAACAGTTACGAAGGCTGGAGCAGCACCAAGAGAAGCTGAGGGAGATGCAGCACCGTCAAGAACAGGAGAGGCAGAAGAGGCAGTGGCTGGAGGAGGAGCGGCTGAGGCTGGAACAGCAGAAGCAGCTGGAGAAGCAGCGCAAGGAGCTCCTGCAGCTGCAGCTTCAACAGCAGCAGCAGGAGCACCGGCACCGCAGGCAGGTTCTGCAGTGGCAGCTGGAGCTGGAGCAGCAGTACCGCATGCAGCAGAAACAGATCCAGCAACAGCAGCAGCTGAGGAGGAGCCCGACTGGAGTCATGCTCTCCCCATCCTCTGGCCTGTGCACCATCTATGAAGCCATGGAAACCAGCGACGAGGAGGACGAGGCCAGAGGAGAGCACAACAGGAACACACAGGTGGTAGGGAAGAGGGTGCCATCCTCCCAGAGCGTCACACAGGATTTCCAGAGGCAGCTGCGTCCAGTTCCTCCACAAGAACTCGAATGGAACAAGAAGGTGGACATGGTCCAGCAGCTCATCAACCAGACCTTGGTTCTGTCTGGAGACGGAGGCTGCCCTCCCCTCCTACTGCTCCCTGTCGGGACAGGGGGCACCTTGAGCCCCTTGGAGAGCAGCATGTGGCCCAATCTGCTGCCCCAGTTCAGCCCTCCTGCCGCTACAGTCACCTCCGTCAGCAGCTACTCCCCGGACAGCCGGGGCAGCTCCCCGCCTGGAGACTGGACTGTGGTGGAGGTGGAGACCCAGCACTGAAGACAACTAATCAAATAGTTGTTTAACCAATGAACAAATTAAAGGAATAGTTCAACATTTTGGTAAGAGTGAGTGGGTAAAGAAGAATGATTCCACTCTCACGTCGATATGAAGCTGTAGCCAGTTAGCTTAGCTTAGCATAAAGACGGGGAGCAGGGGGAAATGGTTAGCCTGGCTCAGTCCGGATGTAACCAAATCTAACTAATTGACATGTTATATCTTGTTTGTTTAATCCGTACAAAACCAATGTGTACATAATAATAACAATTCACAGTTTTGGAGAGAGCAGTGATGAAGCGTTTGCCAGGCAACCAGCAGAGATTCCAGGAAGTTACTGCTCCCAACCAAGAAGTCCTGCTCATGCCCCTGTGATATTTTTACCCATGGGGTGTTAATTAGTTGGTGTTGATTAGTTTTGTTACCTTTGGACAAAGCAAGGCTAGCTGTTAACCCCTGTTTCCAGTCTATGCTAAGCTAAGCTAACTGGCTGCAGGCTGTAGCTTCATATTTAATGGACAGACATGAACATGGCATCAATCTTCTCACCTCACTCAAATAACGCAAATAAACTAATGTCCCAAAATCCCCCTTTAATCATGCCGACTCAATACACCCTAAGACTGAAATTTGTATTTAGATTGAAAGAAAATGACATTACTTTAAAACATATAACACAATGCAGTCATATCTGAAGCCATACAGGGATTTTAAGGATAGCATCACTTCATTACATTTTTAATCCCATCACATGTCAGATCATCATATGACCGTCCAAACTTGACATCAAATTGATTTCAGATCAACATCCTTATTCTTAATAGAACAAATACACTGTAGATGCACTGTATCATTGATTCCTGTTACCCATACATGCATATCGCATACAGTAAGTGTAACCTCACATTAGAGCATGTTTCCTCACCATAGGCACAATCTTACTCTGAAATGCACTGTGAAACCACTTAAGAAGCACTGCTGTCACGTGTTGAGTGGGGCAGCGCTCCACTGTATAGTTTATTTTATGTGCGTCGCAACCAGATACTGAGACCAAATATTGGTCACCCTCTCTAATGAGAGACTGAGCTATGACAAATTGCACTCATTTTGTCCTTTATTTATTGTGTAGGCCAAAGTATTTATACAGGTAAGTGGCAGTACTTTTAATAGATTTACATGTTTGTGGACTTATGAACCCCGAATCATCATAGTGAAGTCAAAATATATTTTGAAGACAACCTTACTGTCTGTGTGTGTTGTGTTGTGTGTGTGTGTGTGTGTGTCAGACAGGAGTGTATTGTGAGGATGATGCTGGGATATAATCCCCCCCTCACCCCCACACATCCACCAGTTAAATGATACTGTGACTTCACTGGACAACCAGGTCTTCATGAACCTAATAGAGTCATCAGTCATGGAGGAAGAGGGGGCTCGAGAGAGAAGAAGGCCCTCCTTGTTCTGCTGTGATGAGGAGGGACGAGAGAGGGAAGGCTATGAGGGTGCTGGTGGTGGTGGGAGGGGGGGGTATCATTGTTGTCTTCCCTTTCACATTCCAAAGTTGTAACCTCATTTCCTGGGTCAGCCGGTATTCAGGGAGTCTCCGAGGTTACCGATGATGTCATGGTGGGAGAGAAAGGAGGATGTCTGAGATGAGACAATGTACCACTCTGCCAAGGCAACCAATGGGGATGGGAGGGTGGTGGGTGGTGGGGGGTAGCAGTCACTCAATACCTATTATGTGTTCACTATAACATGAGACTGTTTTTTTCTACACATTCTCCGTATGTGTTGTCCTGCTTTGTGATTCGTGCAATATATTTTGTCATCAGAACGTATCAGGAAATCTCATATGAATAACTGTTATATTTTAACAGTCTGGCGTGTAGAGAAAAAGCACCTCTGTCTTTCTCTTTGTGTCTGCACAAGGTAGGTGAGGTCAGTCGAGGACCACAGAAATAAAAAGCAACACCGCCACCTGTTGGCTGCATGAGTGAGACACTGCCCCAGTGTTCAGTGTGTAATGTCTTTATGATGTTGATTTACAATAAATCATCAGATCTGTGTTTTGTATTCAGATCTATTAACTCATACACTTTTATGCACTGCTACTATTAATAAAAAGCACAATTTTATATGATTCTGAGGAGCTGACATGGATCCCAAATGAATATTTATGACATTTGAAAGCAGCATGTACAGAATAGTTTTCTAAATCCTCTAGGAATTTATACTGTCAACATACTATGCATGCTTTGTGAAATTATGTTATGTTGCTGCTGTATGCTGCTATATATATGATCATATCTAAGAGTTTTATCACAACTTATGACATTATATATATGAGCACAGTAATAATGCATGCCTTTATGAGAGTGAACCTATATGTGCATCTATATTGTTTTAATAATAGATTCTGCAGTGCCTCAAGTTCCTTTACATTGATATTCTTG